ATCGACCCACCCTCACCACCTGAGTTCTATGTAGCACACAGTAGTAGGATGTAAGCGAGCTGGCATAGCACACACTAAGAAGCACAACCCAAATGGCTTCAAGAATGTGCAGGAATATCTATGCCACATATGGATTAGGACAACAGGTTGAGAAAAGAGTTAAAGTCCTGTGGGACTTCAAGTTCCAGACAGAGAAGCATTTTCTGGCCAACAAAAAAGACGTAGTGGTGGCTGACAGGGAGAAGAGAACACTGCAAATGCGATGGTGAGTGTGTGATGGAGCTGAGATTTCTTGTTTAATCCCCATGGATGCTGTCACACTTAACCAAGCTGTGTTTCTAGTGTTGCCATAATGCGGCATTTCAGGAATACATTTTTCTGGTTTTAAAGATTACGTTAAATTTGCACAAACGTTAATTTCCAGTCTTTTATGAGGACATGATTTTAAGGGCTATTAAATCATGCAGGCAACACTTTTAAGAATCAAAATGAGAGTTATTACGTGCACATTTATACAATTTCTTACCTGTTTCAATTTTTTTTGTTGGTTTTCAGTCTAATCAATTGCAGCCTCTTACATGTTGTTGAGACCTGTTAGGACCTTTAGGAAGCCCATGTTATGGACATAGCTTTAATGTCTGCTTTTTCAGAAAATAAGGTTTTCATGTTATGTAAGTTCTGTAAGATGGTTGTATGTCTGCATTCATGATTATAAATTTTACCAAATAACACAGAAAAGAACACAGCAAATAGCAAAAATAAAACAATGAAAAAATATATTGTAAAAAGAAGCCAAATGCCTGACGAAATGTCTGTTTTCAGTAGAGCTCCATCACACTCGCTCACTTTCTCTTCTCTCATCCAACATTTGTTAGCTTATATTTGATTGATCAGAATCAAAGATGATTCAGATGTAGTTCAGAGAAAAAAGTCTGACTTTTTTCTCCAAAATTTTGTTGTACACTTTTGTGACCTTGTGTCACGGCTCATGAGGCGAGCCGTATGGAATTATTAAGGAACCAAGATGCGGCAGCTCAGATGCAAGTGAGTTTATTCGTCAAATGTAGATACAAACAGAGATGGCTAGGCTGAGCATGAAACTAAGCAAACCTAAACTGGGAAAACTAACAGAATCAACCAGAAACAGAGATGCAGGGAGACACGGAGAGACAATTATCGATGACGGAGGAAGATACACAGATGAACCAGTAACGAGGACGAGGTAACAAACACTATAAATACACACACCAGGAATCAGGGGATGGGAAACAGTAGGGGGACACACCTGGGAGACATCACAGGGGAAACGTAAACAGAACGCACTGACATCAGACAGGGACCTTCAAAGTAAAACAGGAACACATACACACAAAAACACAGTCTAAGAAACGCGGACTTGACACAGGAATACAGAGGCAGAAAAGACTAAACACTAAACTGAGGAAGAACAGAACCAAAATACATCACAACGATAGAAAACACAAAACGCTGGGTCAAAAGACCTAGGATCATGACACCTTGTATCTGGAAGAGCAATTATAAATAAACCTTACTTACTAAATGCTTGTAAATGTTAACAAAGAACTAAGCAAAAATTGTAAAATAAATTAAACAAAAGTGGACTTAATATTGGTCCAGTAGAGTAGAGTGTAGTCAAACGAGGCATACATCATACACGATGTATGCCTGGGGATGTTACCGTAGTAGACAGAATTTTGCATCCAGTCATCGTGGCAGTGTCATGCAAACTGTTCTTTTGCTGGGTGGAATGATTGTACAGCGAAAGTCTTCAATGACAAAAACATGGGTGCACAAGTTTTCATTTATTTTGGATTTTCTGTAATCCACAAAGTGTCATGGGTACACATAAAGGGATCAAATATATAGTCTCACTCACTTAAAACTTTTAATAAGTGGTACACCTCTCTCCTTTAAGTTTGTGGTTACCGCACTTTACATTTCAGAGGCAGGATCCTCTTGGTCCCCTCCCTCCGGCCTGGCACATATGATAATCAACAGTAATGTTTAGAAACTGGCTGGTTCAGCCACTACTACATGTAGTACCAGTTTCCTTTTTCTTTTTGTTTTTTTTTAAAACAATACATTATTTTTACATTCTTTTTCAGGACAACTTGGTCCACACAGTTTGTCTTCATCATGCATCTACATTTGGGTCCTCATCACCCTACAACTCAGCTGTTCAATAAAGAAATTATGAATTACATCAATCTACCTTTATAAACATAAATGAACTGGATTATTTCGATTTAGACTGTTATTTATTTTAATTAAGATAAAAAATTAGTCTTTAATGGTCAGTGAGGTAACATTGAAGTGTCAGCTCCAATTACCCAACATCACTTGGACTATATGAACACATGCAAGAGATCAATTAGCCTATATTCATGCCAGAGTCTTTAGTCTGTAACTGCCCTGCAACTGTTTTTCTGGTAGAAGCACATCCAACATGCACCAGCAGCTTATGAAAACAATATATTCTAATGTGTTTTTTAGTAGAGCAGTAATGAACTGTTGTCAGATTTTTTTTATTTGAGAAAAAAAAAAAGAAATACTAAGGAAGCCCAGGTGTCCCAGTTTTACACTAGTGGTGTGCGACACTGCAGATATTGGTATCGATCCAATACCAGGTAAATATAGGGCCAGTATTGCCAATACCAATACATATACTAATACTTAAAATCTATAAAGGCAGCTTATGTAGGGGAGAGCAGTGTATCATCATTTAGAACATGAGGCATCGTAACTTTGCAAATTCTGAACACATTTCAATAACCATGAAATCCCTGTGATTCTACAATAATGAGCCAATTCAATAAAAACACCATTTTTTTTTCTGCATTTTGAAACTAAGGGTTGTTTTGTTTTTTGAAAACCTGAAATGTAAACGTGTCGTCTCTAAAGCACAAATTATGTTGTTTAAATGTGCTGTTGGTTAAAAATAAAACAAACCTGACAAATTCAGACATTTTTTATCAACTATGCACATTTTGCATAGTTGATTAATTTTTTTTCATTTCACAAAAACAAAGTTATGATACAATTCAGTGTGAAAAGAGTCTCAAATTGTGATCTGTGAATATCAGGCGATTTGTGCATTTAATGGCTTTTAAGTGAGTGAAAAGATTGTGAACAGTATCTTTAGATATTTATCCAGACAGGAAAGCATAGCTAAAATGATTTGATTTATGAAGAACTGTGATTATTGAGTCAGATTTTTATATACAAATTTCTAAATAGTTTTGCTTCTGTTCAGATTGTCTGTATTTGTGTATGGATTGGAGCATGCATTTGTTACTATTCAAAATTTGCAAATTTATTAGTTAGTTTAGTTTACACTTATCGATCACATCATATGCGCTTTTAAACCTTTCAGTATAATTCCTTTCCATCACAGCACTCATTCAACAAGTGCAGCTTCACTATGTCAACAAACAGTGGGGCATTCTCAAAATGCAACACGAGACTGCTTGTCTATTATGAGTGTTTTTCTTTGTGTGCAAGAAAAGCTATAAAAGCTAGAATGATGAACAGGATCTGGAGATTATTTTCAATAACCTTTCTTATTTTTAAAACGTTTTACTCACTGAAACAAAAAATGAAGAAACACAATGTTTGTTAAATAATTGAAAGCTGACTTTGCCATTCCCACAACTGTTTTGATTCAAAACTTTATCAATCACAGAAATTTATGATTAATGCAAATGAATTTTGCACAGTAAATAGGCTCAATAACAAATAAAATGTAGTCTCTCCTCACAGTCATTAGCGTCCCAAACAGCCTTGTACCCTCCTGTCACCTGTAAGGCTCCACACTTTATCTTGGCATGTGAACATGATGGCTTTCCTTCTTCACCCCAGGCCTCATAGTCCATCTCCTGCCCGTCCACCAACAACCAGTCACCAGCCAGAAAACGCAATCCAATCCAGACATGTTCAGTGGTGTTATGTTTGCTCAACTCTTTCTGGATCAGTAGCATCTCAGTCTCAGACGCCACACTGGCCAGGTCATCGTGGTGCTCCCTGCAGTACTCCAGAGCTTCCTCCCAAGTCTTTTTCTCCTTCACCACAACGGCACCGTAACAGAAGAAGGTTTTTTGATTCTGTAGTTTTTCATCATTCCACATTTTATTCCACACGCAGCCACCATCTTCATTCCCGTTAAAGTCATTAGGTTCACCTGGTCTCCAGAAAAAAGTGGATGCCACTCCACCTCCTGACCACAGCCATTGCGTTCTGTTTGAGCAATTTCTCACGAGTCCTATCCAGATACAGTGATTGACATTGCTGGAGAGCTGCTGAAGTTTGTTGTCATCCTTGTCGTTACTGACAGGGGCCAGGTCTGTGTAGTGCTGCTGACAGTAACTCTGAGCTTGAGGCCAATTCATTCTGTCATTAACGTGAACGTACTTTGTAAAAGTTCCAAACAATCTCATCAGGAGTAGGATGCAGGTGAAAATCTGATCCATTGTTGAATTTCTCTAAAGGGTTCAGCAGAGAAATGAGGATCCAAAGAGGTTTGTAAGATATTTGCTGGAGATGTGAGCTTTGCATGTCAAAGCATATTTACATATCAGGGCGGCCTTTTTATCCATGCTGTAGTACAACACAAGTTGAATGAAACGATCACTTCAGATGTGGAGGTTGAAAATTTGTGATTACTGATCATCTGAATTTCATTGAGCAAAAAATTTGAAAGAACCTGAATAAAAGTATAAAATTAATCTGTTTCATCAACTGACTCAATAGGAATGTATCTTTTATTTTAACCTTTAGCTACACACACACACGTCACAAGGAGGACATATTGGTAATATAGTTGTTTTTGTTTTGTTTTTTCAGTTTACCCAAAGTTAACAATACTTGGAAACCATTCATATGCTTAAAGAAATCCAAGGTTAATAGGAGAAGCTAGACAAATATCTTTTTTTGCATAAGACAAACTGACGTAATGTTGGTTCCCATTACACAAACAAATCAGTTTTTTTTTCATATACAAATCATATACAAATCACATATTTTTTAGTATTTTTCCATATTGTCATGTCAACCTTCTGAGAAACAAATGAACAGGTCAAGAGAATAAATTAAAACAGGACTGAAAATGGTCCTTATATTTTTTGAGAGGGATTTAATTAGTTGGGTTTTTCTTGTATTTTCCTATTTTTCTCCTTTCTCTATTCTTTCTTGTATTCTGCATATTTCAGATTTGCCTTTCTATACATAATATAAATAACCTACGGCAGACCCCATGACAACTTCATGCTTTTCAGCATTTTTCAACAGTATTATTTCACCCTGAGGCTACGTCCACAGGTATTTTTGAAAACGCAGACTTTGCGTTTGGGCCTTTCGTCCACACATTTTTGATCACTCAAAACAGAGATTTGAGCGATTGAATGTCCACCCCTGCTAGGGTGGATATTTTGTTTCGAAAACTCAGTGTGGACGAGGAAAACAGAGATTTAGTCACGAACGTGAAAGGTGTGCGTCGTTTTTGATGTCACACTGTGCGCCACAATATTGTTCACAAGAAATTTCTACAAAAAAACAAAAAACAAACTGTTGCTGTTAATCTTACTATTTGCAGTTTTTACACA